CACCAGCCAGCGGCCAGGCCCGCGCCAGCCCCGGTGTGCCACCGCCACCAGGCCTTCGCAGGCGGGCGGGGAGCGACCGAGTCCAATGGGGCGGCTGGCGCTCGCCTCCGAGGCCCAAGACGATTTTCGGACCCAACGTCGCGTCGGCCGAGGCGTGGGAATCGAGAAATCCCAGCGGCTCCGAAATTGTTTTTGGACAACCTCGGCGCCATCGGTTCGGTGCCGCCGTGCCTCGCTCCGATTCTCGACTTGCTCGGTCATCGGCGAGTTGGAAGGCCGAGCCAAGCAGATTCCGCTGGACCCTGCCACGCTCGATGCGAGCACGGCTCTTCAGCTTGCCATTGCACCCAGCATGTTGCCCACAACGTAGGCCTGTTGCTGGCGACACCATGTTCGATATCGCGGGTGTCCTTTGCAGGCCATCGCCGTGAATGGAGCCGATTGGGCGTAGATGGTCTTCTGCCTCCGCGCACGGCACTGCCCCCGCGCGAGCCAGGCCCTCACCATGGAATCCCTCGCCGGGTGGATCTCCTGGCTCTTACGGGCCTTCTCGACACCGCGCTGGAGACGATGCTGTGCAGCATCGTCGACAGATAGGCTTGCACCTCGGCCCTGTGGGGCCGACTGGAACGTAGTGGCCACCGAATTGGACGCTTGGCGGCCAGGCATCGAGCTCTGTGTAGCTGTCGTGTCGACCCGGCAGCTCAGCCTACAATTGCCAAAGCGCCCGGGTGACCGTCGCCGAGTAGCACTCCAGGTCCAACGGAGGTCAACGAGAGGACCTCGAGCGTTGAAAGAGCCGGACAGACAGGCCTTGGCGGGCGGAGTGAAGGGAGCCATTGCAAGGTCGTCTAGCCACGCAGTGCACCTCTTTGGATGCCGCAGCGAGGTAGCACAGATGGCGTGCGATGAACAGCATCCGGTGCTCGTCGGGAGGGCGGCCGGCAGTTGAGGACGCGTGTCGGCGAGGAGCGAAAGTGCCGAGATGCTGCTGAGCTCGCGAAGGAGGCCGGCAGGGTGTCCCCGATGAGCCACATGGATCTCAATCGGATCCAAGCCCGATTGCGACTGTTGGCCGATGCGGAGTTTGGCAGCTCCACACGGACGCACGTCGGCTGCGTCCCTCTTTGACTTTTTGCCTCTCACCGCCGCCACCCTTCCAACACCACCATCGCACCCCGCCCCGTCCCTTTCTCGCCCCCTCCCCCACCGCCTGCCGCTCTCCAAGCGACCGGCAACGTCGTTGGACATGGTCCAGATCTCCATCCAGAAGCGTCCGCTCGCCGGTGCGGAGCTCGAGGCGAGCCAGCGCAAGTACTTTCGCAAGACGGCGCGCGGCAAAGTTATAAAGGTCCTCCGCGAGCGCTATCTCCGCGATGACATCCCCTGCGGCAGTGTCGCCTGCCAAAAGTGCCAACCCCTCCACGATGCCATCCAGAGGGACGTCGAGCAGGGTCTTGCGCACAAAAAGGCCTGGCTCAACGCAAAGGGCCTGTCCAACGCCAAGGTCGACCGTCAGCACTACGTCGTCGTCGACACCAACGCTTTCCTCCACCAGATGGACCTCCTCGAGAATCCGGCCTTTACCGACGTCATCGTCCTACAGACCGTAATGGACGAGGTCAGGCACCGCAGCCTGCCCCTCTACAACCGCCTCAAGAACCTCATCGCCGACCCCGACCGGAGGTTCTGGGTATTCTACAACGACTTCGGAAGGTGAGTCCTCTTCCCCGCCTCGCACGCCCTGCTCTCCTGGCGATCCCACCGCTGATTCTCTCTCGCCTGCCATGTCTTGAACGAATGCTCTTGCACCAGATCGACGGCCGTGACTCGCCTCGATGACGAGTCGCCAAACGACCGCAACGACCGCGCCATTCGTACTGCCGTCAAGTGGTACCGTGCTCACCTCATGGCCTCGACCGGACCTGGATCGTCCACCAAGGCCAACCTGGACGTCATCCTCATCAGCGATGACCAAGACAACGTGCGCAAGGCCATCGACTCGGGCCTCCGCGCCCTCTCGGTCAAGGACTACGTCGAGGGCATGTCCAATGCCGAACAGCTTCTCGACCTCCTCTCGGCTAGGACCATTGGCGGCTTCGGTGGTGCCGGCAGCGGAAGCGGGGAGAAGCGCACCGTCCTCTACCCCGAGCACCTGCCGCAGAACACTGTGACCGCCGGTATCAAGTCTGGTGCGCTCGCTCAGGGTTTCTTCAACGCCAACCCGTACAACTATCTCGAGGGCACCGTGCGGACGCAGGCCTACGATCGCCCGGTGCTCCTCGTTGGTCGCGAAGCCATGAACCGCGCTATCGATGGCGACATTGTGGCGGTTCAGATCCTGCCCAAGGAGGAGTGGAAGGCGGCAACCGAGGAGGTCATCGACGCCGATGCGGCACTGCGCAACGACGACGTCGAGGGCAGCGACGGCGAGGGTGGAAACGAGGAGGACGACGAAGAGGCGAGGCTGGCGCGAAAGGAGCAGGCCGACGCAGAGGCAAATGCGCGCTCCACGAAGGGAGAGCCGCAGCCGACGGGCAAGGTGGTCGGCATCGTGCGGCGCAACTGGCGATCCTACGTCGCCCACGTCGATGTCACTTCGGTCAACGAGTCGGCGCTCGGAGGCCTCGCAGCGCAGTCTCTTTTCGCTACACCCGTCGATCGCAAAGTCCCGAGGATCCGTATCCGCACGCGCCAGGCCAAGGATCTCATCGGTCAGAAGATCCTCGTCGCGCTCGATGCCTGGAGACCTACCAGCCGCTACCCCGACGGCCACTTTGTTCGCGCGCTCGGTGCGACCGAAAGCAAGGAGGCGGAGCAGGAGTCGCTGCTGCTCGAGCACGACGTGCCCTACCGGCCGTTTAGCAAGGCCATCCTCGACTGCCTTCCCGTCGAAGGCGACGAGTGGAAGGTGCCGCCCAAGGACATGACGCACAAGGCGTGGCGCGACCGCGTTGACCTGCGCGACGAGAACATCTGCAGCATCGATCCGGTCGGGTGTCAGGACATCGACGACGCGCTCCACGCCAAGCGGCTGCCCAACGGCAACATCGAGGCCGGCGTACACATCGCCGACGTGTCGTACTTTGTGCGTCCAGACACGCCCATGGACTCCGAGGCCGCCTCGCGCGGCACGACCGTCTACCTGGTGGACCGCCGTATCGACATGCTGCCGCACCTGCTCGGCACCAACCTCTGCTCGCTGCGGCCCTACGTCGAGCGGCTGGCCTTCTCGGCCATCTGGGAGATGACGCCCGAGGCCGACATCGTCAGCGTTCGCTTCCACAAGTCGGTGATCGCCTCCAAGGCGGCCTTCACCTACGAGGAGGCGCAGACCCGCAAGGACGACCCGACCAAGGACGACGCCATCACGCAGTCGGTGCGGCTGCTCAACTCGCTGGCCATTCAGCTCAAAAAGAAGCGGATGGACGCCGGCGCGCTCAACCTGGCCTCGCCCGAGGTGCGCATCCACCTCGACTCGTCCGAGACTGCCGGGCCGATCGACGTCGAACAGAAGGAGATGCGCGAGACCAACAGCCTGGTGGAGGAGTTCATGCTGCTCGCCAACGTGTCGGTGGCCGAAAAGATCTACGAGACCTTCCCGATGACGGCGGTGCTGCGACGCCACCTGCCGCCACCCAAGACCAACTTTGAGACGCTGCAGGACATTCTGCACAAGCGCAAGGGCATGGACCTCGACACGTCGAGCTCGGGCGCGCTGGCGGCGTCGCTCGACCTCTGCGTCGACCCCGCCGAGCCGGCGTTCAACACCCTGGTGCGCATCATGGCGACGCGCTGCATGCTGTCGGCCGAGTACTTCTGCTCTGGCTCCGTGGCGCGCGACACGTTTGGGCACTACGGTCTGGCGTGCGGCATGTACACGCACTTTACCTCGCCCATCCGTCGGTTCGCCGACGTGCTCGCCCACCGGCAGCTGGCGGCCGCCATCAACTACGAGCCTCTGCACGCGTCGCTGCACAGCAAGGACCATGTCGACGACATCCTCAAGGTGGTCAACAAGCGCCACCGCTCCGCCCAGATGGCCGGTCGCGCCTCGGTCGAGTTCTACGTCGGCCTGTCAATCACGGAAAAGAACCAGCTGCTCGAGCAGCAGCAGCAGCAGCAGGAGAAGCAGCAGGAGAAGCCGTCAAAGACCAAGAAGAAGGCGACGGCTTCGCAGCAGCTGGCATTGGCCAACGGGGTGAGGCTGCGCGAAGAGGCCTTCGTGATCCGCACCTTCCGCAATGGCATCGCCGTCTTTGTCAACAAGTTCGGCCTCGAGGGCCTGATCACGTTCAAGGGCGAGGTCGAGTTTGACGCGGAAAACTACCAGGTCACGATCCCGACCGACGTGAGCGGGCTGTCGAGGCCCGCCACGCTCGGCATCTTTGACACGTGCACCGTCGAGATTGGCGTCGAAAAGGACCAGAACACCAAGAGGGGCAAGACCAAGATGTGGCTCGTCGAGTAGCCGGCCTTGGCTGTTCTTGTACATACATACATGCCTACACGCTTGCGCGCGCAGGAGCGGGAAGAGCGCTGTGGGGGGAGAGCGAAAGTGATTCTAGCCTCGATGACTCCGGACGTTGTCGGCGACGATCGAGCAGAGCGAGACGAGGACCAGGGAGGACCGAGCAGGGGAGCGGCAGAGCGAGCGAGTGCGGAAAGGAGCGTACGTAGATACTGGCGCGTGGGCAGCGGCGAGGGACGGCATTCAGAAGAAGCCAGAGAAACGACTGGACAGGTGTTGGCGATGCTGCAAGATGGAGCGACGTTGGGGCTGGGACTGGGGCTGGCCCGAGAGGGCAGCGGCGTGCCTGATGGCCGTGATGCGGCCTTGCTGCTCCAGCTTGCTCTGGATCTCCTCTGGCGAATCGCTGTCGGAGATTGTCGCGTCGTCCGCATCGTCGGTGGCGGCGCTATCAGACGAGGTGTCTGGGCCAGTGGCGGTGGCGGTGGTGGTGGTTGGATTGGATGCAGCGGTGGGTACGGCAGCGACGGTGGAAGCCTGGTTCGGCAGAGGAGACGTGTAGGTCGGAGCAATCGTCGAGCCAGCACCGCCGTTGAGGGCGGCCGAGTGCTGCCCATCGACCGGAACCTGCGCGCGGACCGATGAGGTCGAGGCTGCAGCCGAGGCGACGGGATGGATATGCACATCGGACCTCTCGATGAACAGCGCAATGTTGAGACCGACCGAGGCGACGAGGAGGAAGAGGACGAGGAGGTGCACCATGGCCCTCCGCTTCCTCGTCCTCCTCACCTCTTCCACACCCGGAAGCGGTCGCGACTCGACGCTGCCCTCGCCGACCTGGACGATGCTCCGCTCGCCCTTGTCTCCGGATCTGTCGGCCTTGTCCCCGAATGACGACGACGAGGTGCGAGAGGAAGAGACAGAGGGGGCACGACGACGACCGATGACGAATACCTCGTCGTCGTACACGAACTGTCCCTCCTTCTTCCTGGTCGACGCCGTAGCGGCAGGCGAGGCGAGGAGCGAGGAGCAGGAGGACCGACCGAGTTCAAAGAGACGCTGCCATCCCGTCCGACGTTGACCTCCCTCCTTTGTCGGCGCAGAATGGTCCGGAAGCGGCTTGGAGAACGAGGCCGGGTCGACGGTCTTGACGAAGCGCGGGGCGCCCTTCTCCAGCGACGACTTCTGCGAGGACGACGAGGCGTCCAGTAGCGTCTCGTCGGATGAAGAGCAGAGGGAAGGCGAAGGAGAAAGCGGCAGGTCCTCCCACTCGTCCGCCTCGGCCAGCTCCTCGATCCTCTCGCTGCTGTCGTCCGAGGCCGGCCGAGGGATGGCCTCGACGAGCCGGTCGAGGCTCTTGAACCTCGCTCGACGTTCCAGCTTCCTGGCCGACCCGGACGGCTTTGCGACTCCATCTGCCTCGCCGTCGAAGCCTACCTTTGAGCCATCTCCGTTGGACGGTGAGGGAACGAGAGGAGGGCACGGCGAGATGAGGGGCCCTTTGACGTCGCTGCTGAACCAGCTGCACCGCGTCAGGATCCCGCCCCATCCATCGCGCCTCTCCTCGATGGCACCCGTGTTCGAGGCGGAGCGCGCCTCGGCCTCGGTGGTGTGACGGCGATACGGGATCGAGAGGTTCCAGCCCTTTCGAGGTGATGGCTTCAACGTCTTGATCGCGTCGACGAGATGTGAGACGCGGTTCGAGCCATGGCCGCCGTCCGGACGCAGAAACAGACCGCGCCCCGTACTCTGCACCTTGGCGGGCGCGCCGTGCTGTCGGTCTCGCGGCGTGGCCAGAGTTCGGATCGCCACGGCACTCGCAGCTTGTTCCTGCTGGCCGAGGCGCGATCGGGGCAACAGTGCTGATGGATCACCGCTCAGGAGATCGCCGTTGGGGCTGAAGGGCATGATGTCGCCCGCGACCGTCAGCTGCGGAAGGCTAAGTCCAGCAACCTCGGCACCGAAGTCTTCGCGCTTGACAGTTGTCTCGACGTCGGTGTCCGTGGTGGCGTCAGTGGCGATAAGAGCGGGGGCCACGGAGGTTGCGGACGAGTCGACGAGCTGCAGCGGACGAAACGCCTCGATGGCCTTCTTGTTGTCCTCGAGGACGTGGCGACGGTGGTGGTTGGCCTGGAACCTGCTAGCCCAGGCGGGCACGTTGTAGTCCGCTTCGACTGCTTCGGGTGGCGTGTAGAAGAATGTGGCCCGCTTCGCGCCAATCTCCTTGAGCGTCGCCGAGAGCGGTGTGCGCTCGATGTCGTCGCCGGCCTCTGCCGCAGCACGGGATGCGGGCGCGGGCGTCTCGACGGCCAGGTGGCCGTTGACCTGCTGTGCTCGGACGGCGTCGGCGCGGACGCGGGTGGGGGTGTGCAGAGTCTCGGCCCGCCGAGGAGTCAGGGGGCTCATGGGCGGCAGGGTGAGGATGGTGGACTCGCGCTGTCGCTTGAGGCGTTCCTGTCCCCTCCTGCCCACAACGACTTGGCACGCTGCCGGAGAGCGAGGTGACATCGAGCGGAGGGAAGAGCTCGATGAAAAGCGCCGCAGCCTGGCCGTGCTGGGCGAAGGGAGGCTGACGCGTCGAGGCGAGGCACCAGCGCCGTGGAGGGGAATGTGGGCACGTCGCGAGTGCGCCACGGTGCCCGCCTGGGCCGAGAGGCGGACGTTGGGATCCTGTCCCTGGCTCGTCGCCTCGAGCATGGCCGAGGCCAGCGGCAGTGGGAATTCGTCCACGTCCATTGAAGCTGACGAGGGGCTCTGCACCTCTTCGTACACGGATCGCGGGACGCTGGGCTGCCGCCGGAGATTTGTTTGCTGCTGCATCGCCTCGCGATCGGGACCGGGAGAGGGTGCCGTGGCGATGCCGACCACATCGGCGGGCAGACGAGCGTCGAGGCGAGGCGGCGTATCGAGGTCGCAGCTGGACGGCCGTGCGTCCCAGCTGAGATGCTCCTGGAACCGTCCATGACGCGCTTCGTCGACGGCCAAGTCGACGTCTTCGGCGCTGGAGTTGCCACTGTCGCCGCCGTTGATCGTAGTCTGGCTGTCTTGGCTGCCGCGACGGCGGAGGCGTGGGGATCGAGCGCGTGCCGACCTGCGATCTCGCGGTGCCGGCTGCAGCTGGAACTTGGCGATGCCATAGTTTGGATTGTGCGGGGCTCGAGAGACGCCAGCCTCGTCCGGCGAGGAGGGCGGTGAGAAGGTAGAGATGGGCGACGTCGACGGCATGGCTTGTAGGCGGTGGTGATGTGACGGGGTCGCGGTATGAGAAGCGTCGACCAGCGACGAGGATCGCTCTGCACCTCTGTGGCGTTAGTTGTAGAAGAGCGAGCTACGAGGAGCGAAGTGAGCGGCGGATCAGGAGATAGGCAGACGAGGTAAGATGTGGGCGTGAGGAGGGAGATGGGAGAAGGGAAGATGAGCAGACGGTCGATTTTGACCCTCTCGAGGAGCCCGCCCAGCTTGCACCCCCTCCTAAGATCCATACTGATCCGTCAATGGCGAGAGGCAGGAGGACAGCACAAAGGGAACCTCGACGAAAGAGGAATCCCTTTGTGCGATTGCCAGGACGCGTCGAAAGGCAGTCCCTTTGTCCTGCTTGACGGATACGAAAAAAAGAGAGGTGAGTGGGAGTGGGGGGACGTCAGGTTGCGCGCTGTGGCGACGCCCCGCGCTCCCTTCCTTTCGAGGCACGGCCACGCATCCCCCGCTCCGCAGGCATGCGGGCACATCTCCGCCCCTTTTCCCTCATTGTACTGCCGGCACGCTCTGAGTCTGCCGCATTCCCTCACTCACTGAAAGGTGCAAGCACATCGTGTTGGACTCTCGCACGACAGACACGCCGCGCCAGCTGCATGCTCACCTGTCGGCGTCGGGCCCTCTCGGCGGGACAATAGGAGCGCGACTCGATTCGAGCCAGCGTGGTCGCCCGAGAGGAGAGAAATATGGGGACTGTGGCCGCAGAGGGTCAATCAATCGTGCGCATGGCATGGGAGTCATGTCGTTGAAGAGAGGCGTCGAGGTATCGGACGAAAGCAGATGGCGTACAGGCTACAGACGTGGGGCTAGAGCAGTGTCTAGGCACGGTGCAAGGTGGGGCAGGTCACAGGTCACTTGTTGAGCTCGGCCGATCGCTTGGCCAGCTCATCCTTGCCTGAGGGTGCGGCGAAGCGAACGAGGGGTGAAGTGACAGGGGAGGGAAATGTCAGCCAAGAGTGCCTTGACAGGGCGAGGCGCAGCGGTTCGGCAGGGTGGCAGCTCGACGCTACTCACTGAGGGGCTCCTCGAGCTTGGAGGTGTCAAAGATCTGGGGGCCGGGCTTGCCGAAGACGTCCGCCTGGCCGCCTTTGAGCGCAGGGTCGGTGTTGGGGTCGTTGGCTGTGGGAGAGACCGGAGGATTCGAGCGGGTGTCAGCCGCGGATAAACGCCAGGCGGACGTGGCTACGAGGCGTGCATCCACACTCACTGGTCGCAGGGTGGGGCCTGGAAGCAGGCAGGCAGGTAGACAGGTGGCAGACCGGATCAGGAGGGTATTAGGTGAGTGGACGGGCGAGACGACAACAGCATGTAGGCCCTCCCGAAGGTAGCACTCACTGGATGGTGAAGCTCTGCTCCTCGTTCTTGTTGCCCTGGTTGTCCGACATGGTGTGTATGACTGGCGAGGTTGATAGATAGTGTAGAGGCAGTGAGAGGGTGTTTGCAAACGTGGTGAAGCAAAGTGCTGGCGTGGTGGTGGTGGTGGGGTGGTTGTTGTGGCGGTGAGAGCAAGCGACGGCCAGCGTCTTGGCTTATCTAGCTGATCCTGGCCCCTGTCCAAGGCACTGCCACACGGCCTAGCGAGGATGCGGGGGGGTGGGAGGAGGGGGCATCTGAGCAGAGGCCCGCAAAGGCAGGCAGCCAGCAGGCCGGGTGGAGTCGGTCGGACCAAAAAAGAGCAGGCAGGCGGCAGCGGCAGAGCGCGCAGCCAAAGTAGTGCGTCATTTCGCCGGGGTCAACAGACGGGTTGGACCCTGGCCGTAAGTCGCACAGGCAGGCCGGTACTGAGGCGCAGGGGCCTGCTGGCCTGGCAGGCAGTCGCCGCCGTCGGGTTGGCGGGTCGGCTGATTGACATCCGGCGGCTCTTTCGGATCCGCGCTCCTCTGGCTCGTCTGGCCCCAGGCTAGGGTCGAGGGCAGGCCTGCCAACGACGCGCGGGCCACCCCGCATTCCGGCGTGCCTCTCTCTTTTTCTGCCTGCCTGCCTGCTGCCTGCCTTGCCTTGCCTGTCGACCCAATTTTGTCCCGCCGCCCCACATCCGTGCCACCTCCTCTCCTCGCAACCAACACCTCGGGCCCCGCTCTTCCCCCTCGCTCCGGCCTCTCTTTAATATCGCTCGCCTCGGGCTCGCCTGCGCCTGCCAGCCAGCCAGCCAGCATCGCTCAGCGGGCAAAAAGCGCCATCTGCTCGACCCCCTGTCCCTCTTCCTCTTACCCCCCCTCCATCCTCTCCCCAATCCTCTCTCTCGCTCATTGCCCCTCTTCAACCCCCTCTGCCCCTTGCTCCGCTGCAAAGCCAGACGCCCGCCATGCTGTCGTCCGGCCGCAGCGCATCGTCGCTCTTGCTCGTGGCGCTCCTCGCCTCGCCGCTGGCCACGCTCGCTGCAAAGGTCCTCACTCCCGAGCGCCTCATCCAGGCTCCCCGCACCGCCTTTTCCGCCGCCTCGCCCAACTCGGCCTCGGCCCTCTACGGCGTCTCGACCTACGACCTCGAAAAGCACGCTAAGCGCCAGGTCCTCTACGCCCTCGACCTCCCCTCGCACAGCTCGACCCAGCGCGCCGACCCCGTCGAGGTCGTCTACAACACCACCGAGGGTCTCTACCTCGCAGACGCAGAGGTCGCCTTCCTGATCGACAATGTACTCTACGCAAAGAACCTTACCGCCGGCACCCCCGACCCGCTCGACCCCGGCTACCGCATCGGCGCCTTTCCCGCCCCCGTCTCCAACCTCCAGGTGGTCCGCCAGTCCGAGACCGAAGCCGTCCTCGTCTTCAGCGCAGAGGTCTACGACGACGGCGTCCTCGCCAACGTCAAGGCCCACGACGCCTCGGACAGGGAGCAGGAGTGGAACCGGGTCAAGGCCTACGATTCCGACTTTGTCCGCCACTGGGACACCTGGGTCAACCCGCGCAAGCGCTCCCAGCTCTTCTCGGTCGACCTCAGCCGCAAAAAGGACAACTTTGTCACCAGCTGGCACTTTGACAGCGACTTCCGCAACCTCATGCCCGACACCAAGCTCGAGGCTCCCGTCAAGCCCTTCGGTGGCGCAGACGACTTTGCCGTGTCCGACCGCTTCGTCGCTTGGACCTCCAAGGATCCCGAGCTGCCGCCGGCGTGGCACACCAAGCAGAACATCTACATCGCCCCGCTCAAGGGAGGTGCGCCCCCTCGCCGCATCTCGTCGGGCGAGCACGGCTGGGCGGGCGCCCCTGCCTTTTCGCCCGACGGCGAGACGCTCGCCTGGCTCCAGATGCGCAAGGACGGCTTCGAGTCGGACCGCCGCATCCTCCAGCTCTACACGCTCAACTCGGACACCCAGGACGAGCTGTTCGGGTCCTGGGACCAGAGCCCGTCGTCGGTCCAGTTCTCCAAGGACGGCTCCCAGCTCTGGATCCTGTCCGAGGACGACGAGCAGCACAAGGTCTACCGCGCCAGCATTAGGCGCAAACACTCGACCGGCGGCTGGAAAGCGTCGCACGCGGAGCCCGACGAGGTCGTCGGTCAGGGCGGTGTCTCGTCGGTCGCCGAGCTCGCTGGCGGCCGGCTCCTGGTGGCCGCCTCGTCGCTCACTTCGCCCACCGAGCTCTACCTCGTTGACGCTGGCAAGGGGCGCAAGCAGCCGCGCCAGCTGACCACCATCGCCGCCGACAGCCACGCTCTGTCCAAGGTCGACTTCGGCCCCGAGCCCGAGCAGTTCACCTTTGCCGGGTCCGAGGGCGTCACGCGCCACGGCTGGATCGTCCGGCCCCCGGGCTTTGACGAGAACCGCGAGAACGGGTACCCGGTCGCGGTGCTGATCCACGGAGGACCCGAGGGTTCGTGGGCCAACAGCTGGTCGACGCGCTGGAACCCGGCCGTGTTTGCGGCGCAGGGCTTCATTGTCGTCACCATCGACCCCTCGGGCTCGACGGGCTACGGCCAGGAGTACACGGAAGCCATCCTCGGAAACTGGGGCGGCCGCCCCTACTACGACATCCGCGCCGGCGTCCACTACGTGCTCGACACGGTCCCCGCCGCCGACGCCGACCGCGTCGTCGCAGCGGGCGCCAGCTACGGAGGCTACATGATCAACTGGATTCAAGGCCACAATGATCCGTGCAGCAGCAGCCGGGGCGGCGAGGGCGACGGGCTGGCGGGGGACAAGTGCTTCGACTTCAAGGCGCTGGTGTGCCACGACGGCGTGTTTAGCACGGCGTCGACGTGGTACTCGACCGACGAGCTCTACTTCCCCGAGGCCGAGTTTGGCGGCACGCCCTGGAGCAACCCGGCGGGCTTTGCGCGCTGGTCGCCGTCGAACCACGCGGCCAACTGGAACACGCCGCAGCTCGTCATCCACGGCGGACGCGACTACCGGCTGACGGAGAGCGAAGGCCTGAGCGCCTTCAACACGCTGCAACGACGCGGCGTGCCCAGCCGGCTGCTCTACTTCCCCGACGAGAACCACTGGGTGCTCAAGCCCGAAAACTCGCTGCGATGGCACCACGAGGTGATTGCGTGGCTCAAGAAGTGGTCCGACAAGGGCGACGTCGTCACCGCTGCCGCCCCTGCTGCCGCCCCTGCCGCTACCGTCGAGAAGCCGGGCCTCGTCTTCCAGAAGTAGGATCGCGATTCTCTGTCGTCCCATTGATCCGCCGTCGTGCTTTGTGCCGGCAGTGTGCGGGCCAGATCGTTCCCCGACCCATCTCTTTTTTTATACGCCTTCCTCTTCGTTTATTCGCAGCCATCTCAGTGGGTCGTCTCGGCAGCCTCGTTCGTCTGCTCAGCTGGATCTTGGGCTTGGTCATCTGCCGCCTTCTCCCATGGCTTGAGGGGACGCGAGAGGGATGGCTTGGTCGGTTCCTCCTCATTGATCTGTGCTTGGCCAAGGAGGTGAGTCTAAGGACCGGGCTGCTGTGCGACATTGCGTGGCGTGGGGTGGGGTCGGCCGGGGGAAGGGAGGCACTCACGACGAGGGGGATATCCCTGATTCCGGCAATCTTGTCAGTTTGGCCTGTGGCGATGAGCTCTACGATAGAGTCGAACGAAGCCGGGTAGGGTTCCTGCTTGTCGTGCGGCGCGGCTGGTGCCGCCGTTGCGCCGTCGGTTGCGGCAGAGGGGTTAGAGGAGGAAGACGGAGCGGTGGGTGCGGGTGCGGGTGCGGGTGCACGGGAAGAGAGCCAGGATGTATAGTCGTCGAAGTCGATTTCGGTTCCCGTCCTGGGCAGGAGCCGGTGCGTTCGATGTTGTCGGGATGGAAAGCAGACAGAAGTGAGCACAGCGGTTCGTTGCAGGGGTTTGAGGAGAAAGGGACGAGAAGGAGGATGACGCACTTTGACATGAAGAAAAAGACCTTTGCGCGTTGTTTGGTCTGGAGGAGCTGGTCGGGCGTGGCACCGCTGGCCGTCAACGGACCCAGGATGGCGTCCAGACCAGACTGTGTGCGAAAGGTGGAGACAGGCCGATGTGAGGGAAGAATGGGGCGATTAATGATGAACAGGCATGGCATGCGACGAGGGATCGGCGGACGAGGCGGAGATGCACCTGGAACTCGGGGTCGGCCTCGGTGAAGGCGTCGAGCTGCGTGTAGACGGCATCGCGGTCAAAGGGCACCGTGGGACCCGTCTGCGAGTCGATGTACTGCTGCGCAGCGTCTGTATTTGCGGTAGATTGTGAGTCCATGCTTGGCGAGTTTCTATGGCTGGTGCTGGTGATGATGTTGGCGGTGGCGGTGGTGGTGGCGGTGGCGAGGAGGGTACCAAGTCGATATGCTCTCTGCCCTTTTTGGCCCTCGCCTTTGGGCTTGAGCTTGGGCCAACGCGGTGCGCTGTCTGTGCGCCCTGTGGCCCTTTGGCCCGCCCAGCTGGCCTGGCCACTTGTGGAGGGTGCAAGAGGCGATGGCCGATTCCCGGGCGGAAAGAGGAAATCCAGAAAATGACGGCGGCAATTCAGAAGAAAATTGGCCGTCGGCTGCTCGTCTGTCAGGCGTCTCTGCCCTTCTCTGCCTCGTACCACCCACCTGGCCCCGTACCACCACGACCACTCCATTCGCCACCACTCGTTACCATCACACACACACCAACCAGCATGGACGGCGGATCATCCACGGAGCCGGCGCCGCCATCAGCGTCTACCGCTGCGATGTCAGCGCAGCAGCATCCCCAGCCCACCAACACCGCCTCCACCTCGATGGCGTCGGCTGCCGCACCCCTCACCATGAACGACCAGGTCACCGCCTCCTCTTCGACCTCGACCCGGCCCGCAATCAACCCTCGATCACGACGAGGTCGCAACGTCCCCGCCTCGCGTGTCACCTCGGACGCGCTCCGCTCGCGCGTCACCTACATCGCCCCCACGTCCCACATCATCCTCAAGCTGCCCTCGGGCCGCCTCAAGTCGACCGAGCTCGCCCCCGGAAAGCAAGTCAACCTCGGCAAGTTTGGCAGCTTCAAGGCGGACGACATCATTGGCATGCCCTTTGGCTTCACCTACGAGATCGCAGATGCAAACACCCTCAAGCTCGTCATGAACAGCACCCTCGCCGAGCTCGGTAAGTCACGCTCCGAGCAGCATGGTCGCACAGTGGGCGACATCTTTGCGACGGTCGGCCTACTGACCACCGATAGCCCATGCCCCCTCCCTCCGCTCCGTTCCTCGCATGCACCCGCAGAGGAGACGGATGCCACCAACGAAAACATCCACGACGACGGCACCGCCCAGAAGCTCACCTACGTCGACATCCAGGCGCTCAAAGAGGCCGGCATCACGGGTCGCGAGATCATCCAGAAGCAGCTCGAGGGCAGCGAGAGCTTCAAGGACCGAACCGTCTACAGCCAGGCCAAGTACGTCCAGCGCAAGGAGCAAAAGTGAGTGCCATCTGCGTGGTCTTGCTGTCGCCGCTCCGACCGACCTCAGTCCCGCGAGGTCCCCACTAATCAATGTCGCCCCAATCGTCTCGCCGCGCCCGACCCTCCAGGCACCTGAAGCTCTTCACGCCCCTCTCGCCAGACCTCGGGACGATCTGCAAGTACAACTTTGAAAAGAACCCGGACAAGATCCGGTGGCTGCGTCCGGACGCGCTGGCCCAGTGCCTCTCGTTTGCCAGTGTGCGGCCCGGCGGGCGGTACCTGGTCGTCGACGGCGTCTCTGGCCTGCTGACGGGTGCTGTGCTGGAGCGCCTGGGCGGCGACGGCACGGTGCTGTGCATCAACGACGCCGAGTCGCCGCCGGCGTTTGACGTGCTGTCGCAATTCAACTTTTCGGATCAGTACACTCGGCACACGCTCAAGGTCATCCACTGGGCCGCCACCGAGCGCGACTACCGGCCCGTCTTTGTGGGGCAAGAGGAGCAGATCCAGGCGATCGACGGCAGCGCATCGGCGGGCGCGGCGGCGCAGCAACAGGGCAAGAAGGCCAAGGACAAGGGGCGTGAGCGCAAGCGACAGGCGACGGCGCGCGAGATGGAGCGGAACCGCGCCGAGTACTTCCGGGGCGACTTTGACGCGCTGCTGGTGGCGTGCCACTACCAGCCGCAGAGCATCCTGGAGCGCGTCAAGGGCGCGATTGGCGGCTCGGGCAGCGTCGTGGTGCACAGCCCCTTTTTGCAGCCGCTGACCGAGTGCCACTCGCACCTGCGGGCGTCGGAGGAGTTTGTCAATATCTCGGTCACGGAGCCATGGATGCGGAGGTACCAGGTGCTGCCTGGACGCACCCACCCGGAGATGACGACGTCGGCCACCGGCGGCTTCATCCTGCACGCGCTCCGTGTGCTGCCCGAGGGCGAGGCGCAGGCCATGAAGGAGGCGAGGCAGGCTGAGCTCGAGGCCCTCGCAGCGGCCGAGACCGAGCAAGGAGCATCCGCACCCGCACAGGCGCCGGCGCCGGATGCGGGCGCGTCCGCATCGGCGACGATAGAGGCGGCGGGCAAGAGAACGGGATCCGAAGACGACCGGGAGGCGAAGCGGGTCAAGCGGCAAGAAGGCGAGGCGGCGGCGGCGACGGCCCAAGATGCCGATGCGACGATGGACGACGAGGTGGCGGCTGCGGGGACAGCGACGGCAGGGGAACCAGCAGGGGAGACGGCTTGATTTATTCCATGACTTATTCTTGGTCGCAATCCATACATGCACAGCAGGCGTCGCAGAAGAGGCGGCGGTCGACACGACGATCTATTCAGCGGTTGATGGGATGGTGGTCTGGCGGGCCATTGCGGCGCGCCCCATGGGACCCAGGGGGGCGGACGAATCGTACGATGTGGCCACGGCGGCGGGCGGCGTGGCCAAAGGCGCCGAAAAAAGGGTTGCAGCGCGGGGTCCAGCGCCCCGGAAAAAGCAGGGACGCCAGACCAGGCCAGGCAGGCCAGCAACTGGAAGAAACGAAACGCACGGCCGCAAGAGAAAGGCGGCCAGTCGAAAGAGGTGTTGGTCTGGTCTGGCTTCTGGCCCCTCTCCTCGCCGTCGCCTGGCTTCCTTCCGCCACTCACCCCTCCTTCGTTCTCCTCACGGCTCTCGACGCCTCTCCGACAAACGCCTCGTCGACCATGCTGCAGTCAGAGGGTCTCGGCGCCGAGCCGAGCATCCTGGCTCTGGCCCAGATCCACGTCCACGCCGCCATGGACCGCCTCGATGCCCTCCTCTTCCGCCTGCTCCCGCTCGACAACCTCGAGGCACGCGTGCCCACATCGCCCTCGCTCATGCTCCTCATCTCGCTCACGGCCGTCGTGGCCGTACAGCTGGCGGCTTCGCTCAGCCGCAGCTACGAGGAGCGCGGCGTCCCCATCTCGCACCCGCTGCCCGAACAGGCCCGCCCAGGCTGGGAGGGCAAGGTCCTCTCCCCGCCCCGCATCGCCTCGACTTCTCAACCCAACACCATCACCTGCTACGATCCGGCCACGGGCTACCACATCGCTGATCTGCCCGCCGACACGCCCGAGACGATCCGCCAAAAGATCCAAAAGGCCAAGGCCGCCCAGTCCGGCCAGGGCGTGCGCAACAGCGGCGCCTCGTTCTCCACACGGCGGCGGGTGCTGCGGACGCTGCAGAAGTGGGTCGTCGACCAGTCCGAGACGATTGTGCGCGTCGCCGCGCGCGATACGGGCAAGACGGCCATCGATGCGGCGTTTGGCGAGCTGCTCACGACGTGCTCCAAGATTGAGTGGACGCTGGCCAACGGCGAGCGCGTCCTGGCGCCAGAGACGCGGCCCAACAACCTCCTCCTCGCCCACAAGGTGTGCCAGGTGCACCACGAGCCACTCGGTGTCGTCGTGGCGTGTGTGTCGTGGAACTACTCTGCGCACAACGTCCTCGGCCCCATCATCGCCGCCCTCTTTGCCGGCAACGCCATCATCGTCAAGGCCTCGGAGCTCGTCGCCTGGTCGGCCACGTTTTTCATCGAGGGCGTGCGCGAGTGCCTCCGCGCCGCGGGCGCCGATCCGGAGCTGGTCCAGCTCGTCGTCTGCTTCCCGGACGCCGCAGAGGCCCTCACCACCAGCGCCGATGTCAGCCACATTACCTTTATCGGCAGCGAGGACGTCGGTCGCAAGGTGGCCGTAGCCGCCACGCGCGAGCTCACGCCCGTCACACTCGAGCTGGGCGGCAAGGACCCCGCCATCCTGCTCAAGGACGCCGACCTCAAGTACTTCCAGTCGACCTGTGAGTTTGCGCCCGCGCTTGGGCTCCATCCTCGCTGATCAGGGGGATGCGACTGCAGAGGCTCACATCCGATCCGCTCGCTGGCAATCCTCGACCCGGCACCACTCTGCCTCGACCCCATCCCGCCTCGTGCGCCGCCTTGCAGTCATGCGATCCTGCTTCCAGGGCGCCGGCCAAAACTGCATCGGTATCGAGCGATTCATTGTCGACTCTTCGCTCGTCGCGTCGCTCGTGGCGCTGGTGCAGCCGCGCATCGAGGCGCTGCGCTGCGGAAGCTGGATGGACGAGGTACCTTTCGGCTCCCTCTCGTCGGCTTCGGTCACTGCGGCAAAGGGACAGGTCGACTGCGGCGCGATGATCACCGATGCACGCTTTGACCGGCTCGAGTGGCTGCTCGACGACGCCGTGCAGCGGGGCGCCAAGGTCCTCGTCGGCGGTAAGCGATTCAGGCATCCCAAGTGGACCGAGGGGCACTACTTCCAGCCCACCCTCGTCGTCGACGTTACGCCGTGAGTGCCGCCCACCCCCCCTTTCCTCCCATTCGGGTCATCGACGACGGCACGCGCCGCAACGGGCTAACGTGTTCTCGTTCCCCCCGTCCGCCCCTTTCCGCCTGCGCCTCGCCCGTCTGGTCGAGCAGCGACATGCCGATAGCGCAGGAGGAGCTGTTTGCGCCCATCTTCCTCGTCCTGCCCTTCCGGAGCGGCGACATTGACGCCGCCATCAAGATTGCAAACGGGACGCGGTACGGTCTCGGCTCCTCGGTGTTCGGATCGACGGCGGGCCAGTGCCGCTACGTCGCCGCGCGCCTCGAGTGCGGCATGGTCAATATCAACGAGTGAGTTGCTCCCCGTCTGCCCGGTCGGTTACGGTATGCGATAGACTCGGACATCCACCAACCTCATCCACCCCTCCTCTTTCCCCTCGCCTCGCCTCGCGATCCTGGTGCGCGCGACACGTACACAGCTTCGGCGTATCCTACCTCAACCAACACCTGCCCTTTGGCGGCGTCAAAAAGTCCGGGTACGGCCGCTTCGGCGGCGCAGAGGGCCTGCTCTCGCTCACCTCGCCCAAGGCCATCACCTCGGACCGCCTCTTCAGATACGTGCGCACCGGCATCCCGCCCCCCGTCGACTACCCGCTCGCCAACGGCGCCCGAGGGTGGCGCTTCGTCAATGGTCTCCTCCGCTTCGCCTACGGCGACGGCATCCTCGAGCGCGGTCGCGGTCTCGGTGGCTTGATCGGCGCTGCCCTCTAGATCTTGGGCAAGCCCCGCCGCACATCGGTGTGCGTCCGTCGCGCCGCTGAGAGGACCGAGGTGCCGGGTGAGAGAGGACGTGGGGGAGCGATCGATGTTGGTCCAGGAGGCGGGCGTGACGTGACGAAGAGCGCTGTGACGAGGCGAATCAGAGATGGTTCATAATGACATGCTGGCCGTTGGTGGCGTGTGTGAGAGAGTAGAGTGCGGGGACGGCCCTCAGGCCTTGGGCGGACGCTTCTTGACATCCTCATAGTTGACGGGCTGGATGTAGACCTTGTTCTCCGGGTTGGCACCCTGGTAGCCCTTGTGCCAGTCGTACGAAACTGGACGGTCGCGGGGCAACGACGGTGACAAGGTGAGAGGGCAGGGCGATCCATCAGCTCTCTATCGTCGCACGTCGGCGCAAGCGAGGACCCGGGCGCGCTGGAAGGGCACACTCCACTCACTTGCGTAGGCAAAGATGGTGGCGTCGCGGTTGAACGCGATGGCCGAGATGGGGATACGGTTCGGATTGGTCTTGAACAGCTCTTTTGGCGCATTCGCCGGTCCTTTTGTCTCGAAAGCTGCAAGCCCGAAAAGGGCGGAAGAAAGGGGAGGGGGGGAGGCGGGGGGGGAGGCCGGGGGGAGGAACAATCAGCGCTGTCCCTGGGCTCTGAGCCGACGGCGGCGACAACGACTCTGCCGAGGCGACGTCTGCAGACTGACTCACTCTTCAACCTCGTCCTGCTCTGCTTGCACCAGAAGTTGATGGATCCGTCGCCTCCGCCCGTCGCAAACGTGCCGTGCACGTTGAACGCGATGGCATTGACGGGGAAGAGGTGCGACTCGTTGCGCGGCACGTCTGGGTGGTCGGCGTGCGCGCGCCGGTGGCACTTGAAGGCAAACTTCTTGACCTTGCCGTCCTTGTCTGGTGGGTCGTGGAAGTACTGCACCGCAACGCGCCCCTCGACGCCCCCCAAAGCATAGCCGTCCCCCTCTGGTAGCGCCGCCAGCGAACGCGTCTGGTACTTGAGCGGACTTTGGTGTTCCTGCTCGGTCCGTAGAGGCAAGGAGAACGAAGAGGTGACGAAGGATGGTCAGCGATGGCTCTACGTCGGGCCGAGCCGTGCGCGGCGGGGCGGTACGGGCCGGAGCAATGATCCGATCGACTCACCGAAAGCGGAACGATCTGGCCCGACTCGTCGAGCCTGAAGGCCAGGACGCCGCGCTCGGCCATGGCGACGACGCAGATGTTGCCGCAGGTGTCCATGGCGTACGCCCTCTCTGGGAGATTGAGCATCTGCACCTGGTTGGGCTGCGGGTCGAGCTTCCAGATCTTGAGCTGCTTGTCCCAGCCGGCGGTGACGAGGACGCCTCCGCAGGCATTGAGCCACCTGACGGCTCGGATGGGCTGGTCGTGCTGTGCGACGACGGCAGGGGTGTTGGTGTTCATGTCAAAGCACCTTGCCACCTTGTCCGCGCCGGCGCTGATGACCTTTGTGCCGTCGCCGGACCAGCAGACGTCGAGGACGGGCGCCTCGTGCGTGTACTGCTGCCAGGGCGAGACGGGCTGCGGGTTGGCCTTGTCGATGCGGTAGATGCGCACGTGGTTGTCCCAGCTGGCCACGGCGAGGAAGTCTGCGGCGGGCGAGAAAGAGAGGGCGCTGATGCCGTCAGTGGGACCGGGGGTGACCTCCTGGTCCTGCTCGCCCGTCACCTTGGCGGCGGTGGACGGTGTGGAGGTGGGCCCGGTGCGGGCGCCAAAGCCGCCGGGCGTCGCCGTGCTCGACGAGAAGAAGGACATGGTGGCTGTACTGCGATCAGCTGTGCAGGTAGCGGGCGCTGCCGGGTGGTGCGGATGGGTGGAGCGCTAGTCGGCGGGCGGTCCTTGGTCGACGAGGGTCGCCAACCTGGCAGAAGACGGCTGCGCTGTCGCGACCGATGGATGGATGCGCCGGACGAGGCGCTAAGATGCCGAAAGGAGAGACTGATAGTTTTCGCCTGCCTAGTCTGGGAATGAGTCAGGTGTTAAGGTCAGTAGGTCGTTGTCGGGGAATGGCGGTGGTAATGGTGGATGAAGGTGGTCGTGGTGGAGGACGCAGGACGGCGAGACGACCAAAGGGGTCTCGACTTCTTCCGCTTGGGCGCTGGCTGGCTGGCCAGCACGAGGTTGGCCGCTGCGCTGCTGCCGCGCTCCAGCTGCTGCCAGACCAGCAGGCCGGGCCAGCCCAGCCCCCACCAACTTTTTTCCGCTCGTGCACGTGATCCGCCATTCCCCCGTCATGCTATCCTGCCTCACCCTTCCTTTAGACACCGCACCGTCGTGCTGACCTCGAGCAGCCAGCCCACACGTTGCCAGACCTGGACTGCGTGTCATGCTTCTATTTGGCGGCATTACAACGGTATCAGACGAGAAATGTGCGACGACGACGACGACCGGAGCGCTGATGGGTACAGAAGGCTAACGTGGAGAGACGCCACGAGGCCAAGCAAACAAGGCATGCTGGAGAGATGTCGAGTCAGGTCGAGTCGAGCGTGAAAGAGTCAATCGAGGAACGGCCAGACCGCAAAGGCGGGAGGTCCAAGAAGCAACGCCGATTCGGCCACCCCTACTGCTTGTCGGTGCCCGTGTAATGGTTGGCCGCGGTGGCGTCGACGGGGTCGAGCACCTCCTCCTCGGCAAGCAGGCGCTCGGCCTCGAGCGCGGCGATGCATCCGGTGCCCGCCGACGTAATCGCCTGGCGGTACTTCTTGTCTGCCACGTCACCCGCCGCAAAGACGCCCTTGACGCTCGTCTGGGCCGTGCCGGGCACAGTGACAATGTAGCCGTCCGAGTCGCAGTCGACCTGGCCCTTGACGAGCGACGTGGCGGGGATGTGGCCGATGGCGTAGAAGAGGCCGTTGGCCTCGAGGTCGCGCTCCTCGCCCGTCTTGGTGTCCTTGATGCGCAGCGAGGTCAGCAGCTCGCCGTTGCCCTTGGCCTCGGTGGGCACCGTGTTGAACATGACCGTCACCTTGGGGTGCGCCAGCAGCCTCTTGGCCATAATCTTGCTCGCGCGCAGCTCGTCGCGGCGCACCAGCACATTGACGTGTGAGGCGTACTTGGTCAGGTACATGGCCTCTTCGGCGGCCGAGTCGCCTCCTCCAACGACGGCCAGCGGCTTGTTCCTGAAAATGGGCACCGCTCCGTCACAGACGGCGCACGCCGAGATGCCCGACTGCCAGTAGGTCTCCTCGCCGGGGAGGTGCATCCTCTTGGCAGACGCACCGGTCGCAATGATGAGCGTCTCGGTCAGCTCCGGGGGCTGGTCCTCATTGAACTCGCGCCAGAACTTGAAGGGGCGCGAAGAGAGGTCGACTTTGGAGATGGTCTCGGTGTGGATCTCGGTGCCAAAGCGGACCGACTGGGCGCGGAACTTGTCCATGATTTCGGGTCCTCGGATGCCATCGGGGAAGCCGGGAAACTGTCGTGGTTAATGAAAAGAGGGACAGTCAAGGATCAGTCAGATCAGCGTCCGTCGTCCTTGCACTGGGCTCGACGCTGAGCGAGGTGCGCAGAATACTCACGTTCTCGACATCGGTCGTGGTCGTTAGCTGTCCTCCGGGAGCGAGTCCGTTGGCGAGCATGCCCTACGTTCGAAGAGGTGTGGAGGATGTTCGCGCAAGATCCGAAAGATGAAGAGCGTCAGCGGCACTGCAGATGGCAGGTAGTCATCGAGGCGGGACTGGCGCAAGACTCACCTCAAAAAGGACGGGGTCAAGGTTGGCACGGGCGAGGTAGATGGCGGCGGTGTGGCCGGCGGGTCCACTGCCGATGATGACGACCTTGTGGACCTTCTGTCCGGCGGCGGTTCCGTTTGCAGTCATGTTGGATTGTTGGTGCTGGTGCGAGGGGGAGTGCGTGGAGAAGCTGTTGCGGGAGGCGGTCGTCGAGTCCGAGATGCTGAAAGCGCTAGCAGCCGATGCGGATGCGATGAGGCGAGTGAGCGGCTTGCGGGCAAAGGGAGCCTGGTGTCTGGCGTTGGAGCCGTGGTAGGTCGAGAAGGACGACGTCGAGATGGCCAGGGATCGCTGGGCAGACTGCGGACGAAAGGCGGCCTTCGAAGCGGGGATCGAGGGAGGGGTCGAGGTGACGGCGCTGCGAGCAGATGACAGGAGACGGGGAGTGGCGGACCTGACGGCAAGCATATAGGTGTGGAAGCTGGATGATGGTGATGCTGATGATGGAGAGGTGGAGACGAGGCCGGGGATAGAGCCACAAGCAGCTGGTGCGAAGACGGCCACACCCCAACCCGGCCCTTCCGACAGCACCGACACAGCGTGGGTGGCGCCGGTGGGTGGGCCTGCGTGTGTGTGGCCCCGCCCCGCCTCGCCTGGCTTCGCCCGCCTTCCTTGTGGGCTTCCTTCCGGCTCAGTGGCCGGTCGCCGCGGGCCCTCGGCCCTCGGCCTGATGCGAGCAAGTTCTGCCAGCCTCAGACAGAAGATCAAGCGGGCGTAGGGTTGGGCGTGATTCGTCGGCCGGCCCGCTGCCGCTGCTGCCGCGACCCTACAGTGCGCTGGCCGGCCCTTCTTGCCTGCCTTCTTGTTTCGAACGCCTGCCAACCTGACGCAAGCGCCCACCAGGCCCCTGCCTGCCTCCGTCGGCACCAAGCCTGCCTGGTGCCCGGCTTCCGAAACGCGTCCGGCTTTTTCGCTGAGCCGGTGCAGGCCAAAAAGCCAGCGGAAAGGCCTGGGCCCGGTAGGCCAAGCGGGGCAGCGTCAGGTCACGGCTCGGCGTCAACGAGCCGACGCGCCACCGGCCATGGAGGACTCCACAAACGCCCGGAGAGACTGGTCGTTCTCCACAAACGCCCGGAGAGACTGGTCGTTGTGCCATGGTCCTGGCCATCGACGGCAGACTAGGGAGATACAGTAGAGCGAATCGAATCGCGATGAGCTCAAGCAGCGATGAATATGGGTATGCAAAGGCTTTTAGTTCCGGAGCAATGTCGAATGGCCTGGATGCTGCAGCGCCTCGGCCGGATCGACGTGACGGCGGCCGAGGATCAACAATGCTAGGTAGTTACTCTGGCCGATGGAGAGATGACCACGAACGAGGCGCTGGCTCCCGTTCTCTACTTGGACACGGCCTTGAGGGCATCCTTGATCGTCTTCTCCATCTCCTCGACCTCGTCGGTGCCGACGCGGGTGATCTGGCACTTGAGCGCCTTCTCAATCTGGTCCATGTAGGTCCACGACTTCTGATCGTGGACAAAGTTGATCGAGACACCCTTGCGGCCAAAGCGGCCCGTCCGTCCAATACGGTGCAGGTAGGTCTCGGCGTCGGCCTCGCCGTTGTTGGTGAGGGGCATGTCGTAGTTGATGACGAGCGTCACCTGCTGGATGTCGATGCCGCGCGCGATCACGTTGGTCGAGATGAGCACCTTGCTCTTGCCCTCGCGGAACGCGTCAATCGTGCGGTCGCGGTCCGCCGTCTCGAGCCGGCCGTGGAGCGAGTCGACCTTGTGGCCCTCGGCCGTCATCTTCTGCGCGATCCGGTCCGCCGTCTCGCGCTTGGCGCAGAAGATGATGCTCTGCCCGATCGTGAGCAGGTTGTAGAGCTCCACCAGCACCTCGTACTTGTGGTCCTCGTTCTTGCAGTCCATGTAGAACTGCTTGATCGCCTCGACCGACAGCTCCTCCTGCTTCAACCGGATCTCGTTGGCCCCCGGGGCGAGCCGGAGCGCGAACTCGTGCACGTGGTCCGGGAACGTCGCCGAAAAGAGGACGAGCTGACACGTCTTGGGCATCGTGCTGCAGAGCGCGCAACGGGACGGGAAGGAGTAGAGGAGGGACCGGCGCGGTCAGCTCTGCAGGTGCACAGGCAGATTTGTCGAAGCGCTCCAACTCACTTCTTGACACGGATGCTCTGCTCTCCCAGACTCTGCTGGTCGAGCATGTTGTCGGCCTCGTCGAGCACAAACACCTTGATGGCGCTCGTGTCGATGCTCTTGGATTTGATCAGATCAAAAGTCTTGCCGGGCGTACCGACAATGAGCTGCGCATCGACCTTGTCGCCACGCTTGACCTCGTCAGGCAGCGAGAGCGCCGTTGTGACGTCGGTAAACTTGGACATGGTCTGCACCACCTCCATGATTTGCCGGGCAAGCTCACGAGACGCTGTTAGCGTCGTCGGGCAGGCAAGTTGGGTTCCCAGAGGGACAGATCAGCCGGCGGGACGTCTGAGCGAGGCGGTCGGACGGCGCGAACTCACGAGCGAGGACGATTGCCTGGGGCTTCTTGAGGCTGTAGTCGATCCTGGACAGCATCGTGAGGATGAAGGCGGCCGTCTTTCCGGTTCCCGACTGAGACTGGCCGATCATGTTCTTCGGCCTGCACGAGGATGTCGTGACAGGATGTCGGCCGGTGTGAGAACGGCACTGGATCCCGACCTCGGAACAGAGCCTGAACTATAGCCTCTCGTTGGCGACACTCACGGATTCTGCAGCAGCAGGGGAAGCGCCTTTTCTTGAATCTTGGACGGCTTCTGGTACTTCATAGCGTAGATGCCTTTGAGCAGGTTCTCGTGCCTGAGCGAGCGATGGGGGACATACACAGGGCATGATGAGCAAGCCAAAGCGCGGATGGCGGACGACCGAGAGCGATCGCCAACACCCACAGTCCAAGCTCCTCGAACGACTTGACCGAGTAGAGCGGCGAGTTGGGATCGGCCTGCTGGTCAGCGAGGGTGACCTGGACGTCATGCTCAGGCTCGTGAAGGTTCGTCGCTGCTCGAGGGAGACGGCCGTGGGATCATGACGGGTCAGCAATACGCGGAAAGGCGACGAGGGCTGAGAGCACGAGGAAGGACGGCTCACCTTGAGCCTCGGGCTTGGCGTCGTCGGCCTTCTTGGCCTCGCCTGACGGTAGCGGCGTCGTAGCATGGCGAAAGCCAGCAGCAAGCCGTCAGCATACAAGAGGATGGTGGCGCTGTAACCATATCAGGACGCAGCTAGTCAAACTCACCCTTGGCCTCGCCCATCATGCCAGAGATGCGGTCGGCAATGTCGCTGACCTTGTCGCCGGTGGTAGCAGGTTTGTCAGCCATCTTGGTTGGTCGGCGCTGTCAGACAGGGTGGGATGGTGCTTTCCAGCCGAGATTCCTATAAGTGGCCTGTGCTTGCGATCTCGTGGTCGAAGTCTGCTCGACGGCGTCGTAAAGAGGTCGGCGCGATGGTGTCGTAGGTGATGTTGGACGGACTCGAGAGGAACGAGAGACCAACACCTGGGCCAGCGTGGGCCTCGTCCTCTCTGCCTGCGAGCTCCAGACTGAAGCTTCGCACCCCACGCCGGCGACCGGAGCCGACTTTCTGCATCGGGTAGAAGGCAGATCGACCTCAATCATCCCCCGATTGAAGCGACGGGGACGCGTCGCGTAGAAGGAAGCTAAGGGGCCAAAGCTCAGGGCCAGGTCGGCCTGCCTCGACCGAGGTGTTGGATGAGGGCACGGCCAGGCTGCCTTGGCTGGGCTCGCTCCACACGCATGGCAGACCAGGCCAGGCCAATCCCGACCCTGCGGCGTTCCTCTCGACCTTGACTACTTCCAACCCTGCCACGCCCGAGACCCTTGCCGCCCCTCCGACGACAGCCTTCGCATGCGACCATGGGCAAACAAGATGCCGACTTCCTCCAGACATGGGTGCAGCATGACAAGAAGGTCGTGAGTACTGAGTGGCCGCAAAAAGGGGTGTCTTGGAGGGTGACTGACTGGCCTCAAGGCGCAGTCCGGTCGCCGGTCGATCCCGTCCTTCGTCCGGGAGCAAAGACGTTGACCAAAGCCTTCTCTCAATTTCCGCTACTCTGCTGTGCAGATGACCTACCGGCTGATGAGCCGCGAGCGGAGGATCCACGTCGACGAGGCAAAGCAGCGCATGCAGTCCTACTACGACTCCTGCCTCGCAAAGGACAAGGATGGGTCGAGGCCGCACGCCACATTCATCCTCATTGGCGAGCTCAAGGCTAGTCGGCGGAAAGCGAGACTCGAGGCGGCAGATGAAGACGTCAAGATGGACGACGTCGAGCGAACGCCTCAGGCCGGCGAGTCGCAGGCGTCCACCAGCAGCGGCGTACAGGCCTCTGGGCCCAGCTTCCTCTCTGGACGCATGACGGGCACGTCGCAAGGCCGTGACCTTCCGAGGCGCGGCATTGTTCTCGCTAGCGAGGCTCAACTAGAAGGTGAGGGCTCCGGCGGGCGACATGACCGGACCAGCGGCGACGGCCCTTGGGGAGACCTACTAAGAACGATCTCGCTGCTCCCTGGCGTCGACCCCCTTCGACCCCGGCAGACGCCAAGTCCAGCTTCTCGAGGATCACCTCGTCGCACATCTACTCGTTGCAGCCTGGTCCGCTTAAGGACGCTGCGATCCTGACCGGCATCCAGCACGAGCTACACACGACCGCAAAGTACGTCGACACGTGGACACAGACCGGCCGCGGCAAAGACTTGGGCGTAATCACCAACGGTTCGATCAAGGACAATTACGTGAGTCGCAGTGCGAGAAGATTCCGAGTAAAACGAAGCTTGACATGAGCAATATTGGCTGATGTGCGGATCGCTTCTCGGTCCTGCTTGGACAATCAGGATCCTACAAAGTCGCTTCCGTCCCTCGCTGGCCCAAGCGCACCAGCACTGCCGCCGCCATCCAAGGATGCCAAGACCACAAAGGCGGAGGCGGCGCGGACGACGGCACCTGCGGTGAAGGCGGAGCCTGTCGCTCCCAAGGTCGAGCCGAAGAAGGAAGAGGAGAAGCCGGCGCTGTCCAAAGGCGGGGCAGCGAAGAAGGGCGGGCTAGATTGGAGCCGGGCAAAGCCAAAATCATTGACAAAGCCGGTTCCAGCGCCGTCCAAGGACTCCAGGAAGGGGGACTCCAGCATTGTCGTCGACGACAGCGACGACGACGAGACGACCAAAGCTTCATCGAAGCGAAAGGCCAGCTCGCGGGGCAAGAACACGAGACGAGCGTTGCTAGGCGACGACAGCGACGAAGATGTCGAGGTGCCAGAGGACGATGGCGAGAGCGATGGCGACGTGGGCAAGCTTGGCTACGACATCGACGAGGGCGACGACGACGACGACGACGTGCAAGAGGTCGACCGCGACTCGCTGGCCAACAAGCCCAAGTCGGCCAAGGAGCTGCAGGCTGCGACCACGAGTGCGGGCAAGCGGGCCGACGCCAAAAAGAAGAGCCAGGCCGAGATTGACCGCGAGCGCAAGGCGCTCGAGGACATGATGGATCTCGACGACGACCCCAGTGAGCATGGAACAGGTTCGGATCGACTCTATTGCTAGACACGGACGCTCATCATTCCACCGCGACTTTTGTTTCTGCTCGTCGGCGGCGCAGATGTCGCTGCGGCAGATGAGCCATCCACGGCTATGATGCAAGGAACCGCTGATGCCAAAGATGGAGATGGGGACGAGACTCAGGTCAAGGCCAAGGCCAAGAAGCGGGTGCGGAAGCAACGCAAAGTGCAGAAGAAGGTCCGCAGGAAGGACGAGCGTGGCTACACGGGTGAGTGCACGAGATTAATGGTAGCCCCTCTGGCGCGTCGACGACTGCTGACAGCCCCTTCAACATCTCCTCTGACGTCGTGTCACGGCCCTGGAACAGTCACGGAGATGGTCGACGAGTACGAGTCCTACAGCTCCGACGAGTCCGACGCTCCGGCACCGGCACCCAAGCTCAAAGCCGCGCCATCGAGATCAGCCGCGCGGTCGACTTCATCGAGCGCCTCGACGACGCCCGCCCCGTCGGCCCCGACGAGTCGAGCTGCCTCGACTGCGCCGGCCAAAAAGGAGTCGCAGGCGAGCGGCACTGCACCGTCGGCCGCAGCAAGCGGGCGTAAAGGCACCGCCGCACCGAAAAAGGGCCAGCAGAGCCTCAACAGCTTCTTTACCAAGAAGCCAAAGGAGTCGAAGTAGGCGGCCGGGTAGCGCTGCGTCGGATGCCGCCACTCTAGATGCTGCAAGAGCACGTTCACGTCTGTCTCTCTGTCGCTGCCAGTCACGGTGGCCAACCTGATTTCACTTATCGAGCTCCTTACACCGCGACGTACGGCCTCTCGACCCGCCTGGGCTCAATGTGCGGCGGCCTCGCGGAACCAGGTCCTGTCGAGGACGCCCTCGCCACGCTCTTGGCCCTGACCCTTGACTGGATCCTGGGCATCGAAGAGGGCCTTTTTGTGTGCGCCGTCGACGAGCTTGACGATCTCGTCGACGTCGTACCTGCAGCCGTTGACGTTGGGGTAGCGCATGTTCCAGCTGGCTGCGCCGCGCGGGTAGCAGCCAAGCATGGTGAAGTCGTGCGACGACTCGAGGGACCGATGCGTGTACCCGGCAGGGATGAGGAGGATGTCTCCTGGTCGAAGTCGAAGGTGGTGCTCGGTCTTTGGGCCACCTTCGCTTTCGCCCTCACCCGACGCCCCTCCCGTGGTCGAGGACCGCAGTGGTAGCGATGATGGTGGTGGTGGTGGCGGTTTGGCACGCTGATCCGAGCCGCCGAGCATGATGGAGGCGTCGCCGCGCAGGACAAAGAGGAGCTCGTGCGTCGTGGTGTGGTAGTGGGCCTGGCGGTACATGCCAAACTCCCACGACGGCTGCCAGCCTCGTCGTTCGACGAGCTCCTTTGCCTTGTCGCTCGGGAAGTCTGCCTGTTCGGAGCCTCCCGCCGTGTCGGCATCGCCGCCGTATGGAGATCTGTAGTGCAGTGCAGGCAGCGAGTGCGGTTTACCGTTGGGAGAGTAGCCGTCGCTGTCGAGGTGGATGACGTCGACGGCTGGGGAGGACGTGGTGGACATGGCGACACGCTGACGGGGACAGTGAAGGATTCTGCTAAGTCGGACGTGGCGGGCGATGGACGAATTCGAGCGGGCTGGCGTCAGCTGTCGATGGAAGGTGTTGAGTATGCTCGTATGGTGGCAGAGACGCATGGATCGCTGCTAGCCCCTGAGGTGCAATGATGGAGGTGCGGTGGCGAGGGGCAAGAAGGACGACGACGAGGAGCTGACTCGACCCCAGAGAGACGCCCGGGCCTCTTTGACCAAGCCAAGGTGACGTCCGCGCCCACGCCCTTGGAGAAAATCCGCAGGTGGAGGCATATGGGAGCAGGCCTCTGGCAGGCGTTGGACCCTGGCCTGCCCACCGGCCGGTTGAAGAGCCAGCTGCCTGCGTGGCCCAAGGTAGCCTAGCCTGCCTACCGCCTGTCCCTGCCACTTTGTTTTGGCGGGCGGCTCCCATGCAGCCGCCCCCTGAGCCACAAACGACCACAGATGGTGACAAGCCGGGCCTCCCGCTCCCTCTTCGTTCATGTGTAACAACGCAATCAACCTGTCATGGAGGACGAGCGCAGGCGCAACGGACCTCTTGCTCCCGTGCATGAGCTGCGCCTCGCCATTCAGCGCCATACTCTCTCGGCCTGCAAGCGGGAGGACGGGCTGCCTGTACGTATGAGCTGGCAGCCAGTCCAAGCCGCTCCATGCCGCCGGCCTGGCCTCGGAAAGGCAGGTCAGCCTCCCCTCTCGGACACATCTCTCGACCAGCAACGACGCGCGCGACGGGCTGGGGTGGCGACAGTTACGAGTGGCGGTCATGTCCATGGCGTTGGCCTTCCTGTCCTACTGTAGACTGCCGGCACAATAACGAAGGACCAGCAAGCAAGCAAGCAAGCGAGCAAGCAAGCGCGAAAGGCCGAAAGAGATGCAGGGGGACCGACCGCCTGCGTGCAGCAGCAGGCCAGGTTAGGCCCAACACATACAGAGCAACGCGCCTGCAAGCAAGGTCGATCCCTGACCCTGCCTGGCCCTGCCCTGCCCTACCTCGTCAGACGGTCCTTTCCACCACGCTGCGTCCTTTCGTTTGTTGGGTGGGGAGAATAACCCGCCTCTTGTCCTCAATGCGTGCGACTATCCTGGACGGGCGTCCAAGCATGGCACAAAGCGCAACAAAGGCACCCATGAGATCCGCGGAGGGCACGGGGGCGTGCGAAAAAGAAAAAAGTCTGGGGTAACCAGCCGGCTCGCTCTCGTTTTAGCACGTACAGACGGGCGTCTGTGTCGCTGTCGTGGTCATCTGGCTCACTGCCCGCACTCAGAGGGAAGAGTGGCGGTGGAGATCAAGATGACGAGGGGCCCGCCGCGCACCAAATAGACCACGTTTCGTAGGCCGAACGAGGGAGAGAGAGCCGACCAGGTTGGTCCCTTTGGTCGACATGGGCGTAGCGAGCACAGGGCGCAGCGGCTACGGCCTGTATGGTAGCCTGCCGAAGCCAGGCTGGGTTCTCCTGTGGGCCGTCGATCTCGCTGCAGCCTAACACGATCGTCGCTGGTCTACCGAGCCGGCTTGCTTGTCGGCCTTCCGTCCTACCTCTCGCTCGCCTCCCTTGCCATAATCGCCCTGCCTACTTCCAACGACGACACGACAGCGGACCTTGACAAGAGTGGAAACGCGGCGAGCCATCGAGAGCGAACCGCTTCGGAGTCTGGACACTGCGCGCAGGTGGTGTTGACTCTCCATCCAAGCTGCAGCGCCATCGGCCACCTCTCTGCCTGTGTCCTCTCGCCCTCTTCCCTCCCTTTGGCGCCACTCCGCCTCCCATCTACAGCACTACTTCCTCATCTTAGACCGTCCCGCGCCCCCTCGTCCTGCAGCCTGCGTCCAGCCACGCTTCACGTCCAGACGACGGCGTCTTCTGCTCATGCTTGGCCCAGCACAGCTGCCTCACCCCTAACGACCTCGCAGACGAAGCGTCCGGACCGGCGTCACCCCGACCCCGACGATCATCAGCTACGATCTCGACCACGACCAAGACCGCAACCACGACCTTCAGAACGACAACCAACCACGAGCGCCAGCACGACCGTCACCGCCGCCAAGGGAAGATTCAGATACCTTATCCTTGATTCAGGCTCATACCCTTTGCCGTCCCGCCATCATCCACCGCCGACCTTCGAGCCTCTGTTCCGCCAGCAAACAGCAAAGGTCACCCTCTCGCTATACCCACCACCTTCCGTCTCGCCGTATGATCTCGACTCTACAAGCGCCGGCAGTCTTTGAGTGCATCCGCCCCTGATCACCCGCGTGTCCAAGGGCACGCGACGTCTCGGCCTGCCGCCATGGGCAGCCATGGTACCAACAGCGATGAGCCTTCGCTAGAGGGTCCGCCCGCAGGCCCCTCGGATTCAGGTCGTGGTCGACGCAGCTCGGTCAATCCGCTCGGCAGCTTGTCACTGCGAATGCCTAGGTCGAGCAGCGTCAAGCAGCTGGTGCAGCGATGGGAGATCACGACTTCGCCCACGTCGTCGCCCGTAAAGGAACGCGCCACCGGCAGCGGCGGGCCTTTGTCGGGACCCGCCGAGCATCAATCGGGTCGAACCGCAAGGAGGCAAAGCCTGGCAACACCACATCTGCCCACAAGCCGGCATGACTCCGGAGCGATGAGGAAGAGACCGGCTAGAAAGAACACGGCGCCGGCGACAGCGCCCGGCCCGTCGAAGCAGCCTTCACGTCAACCCAGCGGCGAGGCTCGAGAAGACACAGGCTTGAAGGCGGATCCGACCCATGCTATCGTCCACGGCACTGTGGGCAAGATGGACTGGACGCCGAATTACGGCCTGCGCAAGCACGCCGACCTGTCCCCAGAGGCTCGCTCATCGGATCGCGCCGAGAGGATACTGCCGAAGACTTCGGCGTCGGCCCGCACCGAAGGGTCGAGAAAGTCGCCCTCGGACAGCAAAGTATCACCTCCTGATAGCAGAACTGCCAAGCCGGCAACGCAGAAGGCCTCGCCGCGACCAGACTCAAAGAGCGGCAGCAGTCCGCCATCGATACCACTCAAGTCGGTCCATCCCGCCACGTCTCTTCCCTCGTCGACCGCGACGTCCGCCGCGACCACACCAACTCAAGCATCTGTACCGGTCCAACGCCCTGCTGCTAGTCCAGCGCCCGCCCAAGACGAGGCACCGTTCATAACAAGCCCCAGCAGAACGGCGGCAGCACGGCCGTCGGTGCTGAAACCAATCGCCAACACGGCTGAACCGAGCCGTCTGTCGGGGCCGACAGCGCTGTCGCCGCCCAACACTGTGGCCGAGACGAAGCCGAGGGAAGCAGGCACAAGAGATGCATGCGATCAACCCCCAACGCCATCGGCTTTGCCTGCTTCGAAAACGCCGCAGGACGCGGATCTGTCTGGCGCTACGCTGAGACCTCGCGATGGGCTCGTCCGCACCTCGGACGGCACGCACATCTTTGACCTCGAGGGCAAGAGCCCCAAGAATGGCACCAGCTGGCTGCCCTCCGTCTTCCTGGACGAGCCCGGTCCGGGCAAGTCGGCTCGCGATGCGGCTGATCGCAGGCTATCGGCCTCGGGCTCGAGCGGGTCGAAACTGGAGGTGAAACCAGACGGGAGGCCCTCGACCAGCGACGAGAGCTGTCGGACCCTCGCTCCTGCTGCCTCGGACAAGCGCAGCTCGAGTCAGTCGTGCGACGACTGCTGTTCAAAGGGCTCGTCGACGCTCCTTGGCCCATGCGAGAGCTGCTACTCGTCGTCGTCGTCGTCGTCTTCGTCGTCGTCCTCTCCCTCGGAAACTGAGCCCGGATATCGCCCCGCCCCGACACCCCGACGTAGCGTCGACCTCGACGATATCCTGCCGGTGCCTGCGGACATGGTCTTCGCCTCGTCCGCTCCTCCACTGCACCTGCCCGCCCTGGATGAATACCTGGCCAATCCGATTCTGTTCAGCAAGCCGGACTTCTGCGACGCTGTTGCAATATGCACGCGCAAGGAAAGGGATCTGTTTGGATTAGAGGGGGTCGATCAGGTGTTTGATGCCGCAGACAACGATGGCGGCAGCCTGGGTAGCAGGCTCGGCATCAGGGCCTCTCCAGGCGGAAGCAAGCGGCGGATGCCGGTCCTGGAGGTCGCTGGCGGACAGATGAACCTGCCGCAGGGAGCTTTTGCCTCAGCCACCAAGACGCACGAAGCCTCCCAGCGTCAGCGATCCGGCGGCCTCAGGCAAAGGCGGGCAGGGAAATACGCGAAAGTGGACGATCAAGACGAAAACGAGCTCGAGGCCATCACCGTCATGGACAAGGTGGCTGGCGAGCGCGGCCGCAGCGATGGGTCAGAGTCGGACGACGATGGCAAGACGATCTTCGCGTCGGACCAAGGACACGGGCACCGCGACCAGGAGCAGAAGACGTCGCCGACTGACGAGGTCCGCGCCGTCGACTATCCGCAGCGCCCAAAGATGCCTCCGCAGGCCGACAGCGACCTTTCGCTTCCGGTTCCCTCTGGCGTGCCCAGCCGGCTGTCGACGGCGTCGCATCCCGTCACACGCCTCGAGATGTTCCCGCCCCTGATGCTGCTCAAGGACAACTCGTTGGATGAGCTCAAGTCCAACGCCATCGGGCCGAGGAAGCCGCCCGGCGGCATCTGGGACATCCAGATCCTGGGCACCATCTTCGACTTCATCATCGGCGCCGAGGGCAGCAACTTTGCCGCCGGCCTCTTCCGCCTCGAGCTGCTGCGCGACTTTGCGCAGATGATGGCGGCTATGCTGCACTTTGAGAGCACCACCCAGCCGCTCGGAGCGGTTGACCAGGTCCGCAAGTTTCTCCTCCAGACGCTGCCCTCGCTGCTTGCGCTCGACTTTGTGTCGCTGTTTGGCTACGCCGTCATCTTCTTCCTGGCGTGGATGTGCGTCACGGCCCTGGCTCTGTTCAAGTTCTGGCGCATGACGCGAGCCTACGATCCGAACCGCAACGTCGAGGGCTTCGAGTCGCAGGGCTGGATCTACAAGACGTCGTCGCGCGGCAGCAAGCTTCTCAACACCACCATCGTCTTCCTGCTCTCGACGCTCTACCTGCCGCTCAGCAAGCTGGCCGTCGATGCCCTCGTCTGGTCTTCCGACTTCTGGCCGGTCCCTAATCCGTACGTGGGCGGCATCGACGATCCGCTCCTCGACCCGCTCGGCGACGCCGACGTTTGGCGGCAACCCACCGACTTCTGCTACACGACCACGATGCGCCTCGACGGCTTTAACTGGGCCTACGTCATCGTGCCCATGGCCGCGCTGACGTTCTGCCTCTACACGCTGTGGTACCCGTACAAGATGATGAGGACGATCCGCGACATGCTGCCGGATGTCAGCCCGTACAACGAGCTGGGCAAGAAGCGGACCGAAGAGGAGATGGAGATCGAGTACGCTCGGCTGCTTAATCGCGACAAGTCGCCGCTCAACTTCCTCTACAACAGCTACCGCCGCAAGTGGGGCTTCTACAAGCCCATGTACATCCTCTTGTTCAAGTTCAGCAACCTCATCATCATCGGCGTGCTGGCCAAGGACAATTGCCTCTTCCGCTCGGTGCCGACCAAGACGATGCTGGCCATCCAGCAGATCTCGCTCATCGTCGTCATGTCGTTCCTGCTGGGCCTTCACCTCTACATCAAGCCGTTTGTCGATCACATCTCGAACCGCTCCGAGATGGTCAGCCGCATCGGCTACGTCTTCACCGCCATTGTCGGCCTGCTGGTGGCGCTCAACGTGCAGGGCTCCACCGTGTACAACACCGCGGTCCTCTACTGCATTCAGGCGTTCTCGTACACGGGCAACATCTACTTTGCCACCATCGGCACCTCGATCGCCGCGCACCAGGTCAAGCGGTGGCAGAAGCGCGTCGACTTTAGCATCGACATCTTTTCGCCGCTGCTCGACCTGCAAAAGCACATCCGCCGGCGCGTCTGGCAGGAGACGTTGTCGATCCTCCTCCTCTCCGGACGTGGCCTGCACATGCCTCTCGAGCAGGTCATCGCATTCTCCATGTCCGAGAGCGATGCGTGGCCTCCCTACCTGCTCGACTTCCGCGGCTCGGCGGCCGAGCGTCACATCGAGAATCTCAAGATCGTCAAGCAGATCGGCATCGAAGAGTACCGCAGGCACGTCGATTACAGCCGCACCGCCCACGGCGCCCGCCTCCGCGAGCTCGTCAAGATCATTCAGCGGACCTATGCCGGCCCAGACGCCTACTTCCGCCCGATGCACCCGCCGTTCCCCAGCGGCGTTTCGTCCTTCTTCGGCAAGGCGTTTGTCGTCCCCTTTCCGCCAACCATCGTCATGCGCTACGACCAGGGTCAGGAACACACGCTGCAGATCACGTCGCTGCAGGACTTTGAAGCGTTTGTCCGGCAGAATGCCTCGGACGACATCTGCTCGCGACGACTGGTCCGACAGGCTCTGAGGGCCCTCGAGGGCCAGCGTGTCCTCTGCCCTCATGTCGACAACCAGCCGTACGGGAGGGACAAGCACGGCCCAGCTTGGGCGAACAAGCTCTGTGCCAAGGTCGGTGTGGGCCGCGCGGGACGCTATGCGCGCGCCCCGGCACATGTCCACGATTACACGATGGTGACGCCCGTCTCGTACATCGAGGGTACCCTGCAGATCGAGCGGCGCCAAGAGCACGAGTGGAACGGCTACAACTTTTCGTCGGGCTTCTACGTCAAGATCATCTATGACCAGGGCGGGAGGAGGCAGGAGTCGAGCGGCGCCGTGACGACGGTGCGGGAGGCGTTGGAGGTGAGCGGCTCGAGGGCGTTTGGGCTGCCCGACGACTTTGACATGACGCCGAGCCTGGCGCGCTTCCTCAAGGACAACGAGGGCATTGTCCGGGAGCGGGTGCCGTACGTCGAAGAGATCCTGCAACGCTACCGCCGCGACTTTGAGCGCGAGGCGCGCCGCAAGGAGCGCGAGATGCCCTACTCGTTCGAGACCGACGTCTTTGACAACCATCAGCTCTCGCACGACGAACTGCGCTGGACGCTGCGCAGCACGGTCAGGAGCCGTGCGTTGGCGCACCTGCCCGACGACTACCGCGGCAGCATCACCCTGCTCTACGAGCGCCTTGCCGCCATCAACCGCTCTCCCGTCCACCGGTACTGGTGGCTCCTCTTCGACGAGCTGTGGAGGATGAACAGCGAGGACTACAAGCTGCTTCGCACGCATCGCCGCTCCTTTTCGCCGCAATTCGCCACCAGCATCGCCTATACGCCCATGCCTCGCGCCCAACTGGAGCGCTATCTGCGCAAACGTGGGCTGTGGAAGCAGGATGGCCGCGCGGGCGGACCGTTCAACCGCGGACTGCTCAACCGCATCTACTTCTACCTCCACGAGATCGTATTCGCCGGCCATCACAGCGGGCGGACGCCTCCGCAGTCCAGGGTTGTCGAGGAAGGACGACCAAAGCACGGTCGTCCAACATCGGGAGGCCGTGGTCAGATCCCGATCGGCTTCGGCACCACCCCGCAGAACGCAACTAGGCGAGACTTTCCGTCGTTCGCCGGGGAAGAGCCTGCACACGCCGTCCCGGCACCGCCGTCTGCGCCCTGGCAGCGGGTCGAGGACGATGATGGATCGCCGCACAGCTCGCGGCTGACGGGCGGTGGCACGGCCTACTCGATGTCGAGCATCCGCGATCGAAGCGCGTACGTGTGGGAGCAGAGGATGAGTGGCCGACCGCTCTCGACGCGCATGCAGCGGCTGAAGATCAAGATGCTCCAGTGGCTCAACCTGTCGCCCTACCTGCTCGACTTTGACAGGGAGAGGCTCTTCCTCTACGTCGAGCTTGTCGGCGACAAACGCGAGCAGCGCTACGTCCTCTTGCCCGATCGAGCCGCCGCGGGCCGGCGCTGAGCCGTGCCGCCGAGATTGTCGGCGTAGCCATCGTCCCTGCTCCACCAGCGTCTTCCAGCACCTTCGACGTTGGCGCCCTAGCTTTCTCTGCTGATTTTACCCGGCCCTCTTTTCGATACCACTCGTGATCCTCTCGCACCTGCATACCCCGGACCCTCACATACATTCATTCTTTCGTCTTCTGCCTCAGTCTATTTGCTCATCTTGCGCATTCTCGAATGGATCCTGACCTCAGCTCGCCCTGTCTGCTCGTCGGCCGTGCATTGGGAAGGATAAGGCGACGGACAGGATGGATGCTCGATCGAAGTCGATCGGACCGTGGCCATTGGCGGACCAGACCCTGTTCGGCTACGAGGCAGCCAGGCCACGCGAGCGAGCAGTTAGGTCGGGACTGAGACCAGCTTCGGCCTGCGCCAAGAACTTCTTTTTTTCAGAAACAGGCAGGGCGGCCGGCCGCCAAGAACTCGATTGCACGTACGGGGGGGCCGGTCTAGCAGGCCCCCTCCCTGCCTCCCTCACCGCCCGCAGCTAGTTGTCCCCCTCGCCTCATCGTCTACTGGATCAGCTGAGGTTCGTCTCTGACTGGATCGGCTCAGATGGCTTCGCTTCGGTGCTCGTCCGCCGTAAGCCGTTCCTGGACACGGTCTAGAACCGCTGAATGCGACGTTTCGACGAGCTTACACAGCGCCAAAGGCGGTGCTGGCATCGAGCGCGCCTGGGCTGTAGAAGAATGGCGCGAACCACGTCTTGAGGTCGCGCTGCCTCTGTGCGATACATGAATCGGCCTTCCCAACTCGTCCACTGGCCAGGATGACCCTCCTCCTCGAGCTCTTCATCGTGCTCGATGGAGTAAAGGCATGCTAGAGAGCTCTTGGTGGAACGAAGAGCAGGCAAGGGACTCCCTCCCCCGTCACCTCGTGACCAACATGGCACTAAGTTACAGTCTTGCTCGTCGTTGGCGACCAAAAGCCGGCCGGACCTCGAAACACGGAAGCGACGGCTCCCTTGGTCGCCAGCAGTATTCGACAAGTCGGCTCCCGCCTCTCCGCATTCCAGAGCCGGGGTACAGCCAAGACTCTTAGCTGTCCCCATTCCTGCCCGTCGTCCCGGCTTTTGCACCGCCGCCCTCCCTGCTCACCTCTCTTTGTTCTACCGATGTCACTAACGGCACGGCCTCCGTCGCCGACGCAAGGTTCCGTCATGCTGATCTCGTCCGGTCGGACCGTCCTTAATCCCCCGGTCGCAACGCTCCGGCCTATCGTTACCGACTCTCCGCACATGCGTGATCACCAGCATCTATGTCGCCCCTCGATAAGCTGCGACGATCCAGACGACGCCAAGCAATGGCTGCCCCGGCGACCCGGCTCGGATTGGGTCGCCGAACTCGTCTCGCCGGCGCTCGAGAGCGAGCGGATCAGATGATCTTTCAATCCTAGCCTGGCTCGCGGTCTCCTTGGACGACGAGGAACGTCGTGCTTCCACGTGCGCGCCGAATCTTTGCTCGAGGCCGATCCGAGCACCCGTTCGTCCGGGTTCGTCCAGGCCGAAGGAGCTTGAACCCGGCCCAGCTGCTTCAGGACTGCTCCGAGAGGGAGCTCAACCATCGGTGCACTGCACGCTCCCCTTGTCTGAGTCGTGACGGTTATCTCAGATGAGACCAGGACGATGGCTCGACCTCGAAGGTCGACAATAGATGGAACCAGGATGACGAGCATGAAGCGAGCGCGACCGACTGCCTCGTCCGCCCTGGCTGAAGTACGGATTTCAAGTCTGGACTTGCGGGGTCGCAAAGCAAGGGTGACGAGCCGAGGGCTTGGCGGACGGACGGGATCCCGTCGCCTCGCATCGCACCGCCATGTCGGGGCCAAAGACGGCATTCTTACCTCCCTTGTCTCTAGGGGTCAGACGATGCGGGCTATCCCTTGCTGTCCGTACGTGCTCCAGGAAGGCGCGGTCACGACACGACATCTCTCACGACACGACAATGGGATTGCGAGAGCCCAATCCAGACAGTATAGCGAGCTGCGCCGCGGTCATCGAAGCTATAAAGAGCGGGTTCCACCCCAAACTGTTCTCCCCTCGGTCACCGCGCTCTCCAAGCTTCTTTCCCCTCGCCCTTCCTTCCATCAACACCTCCAACGGCAACTTGCCTCTTGCTCTCCACAACACCCGCATCGATCATGAAGGTCGCGCTCTCTTCGGCCTTGATCGCCCTGTCTCTGACGCTCGTCGCGGCGCCGATCGAGGTGGCTGAAGCGACCCCGATCCTGGACAAGCTGGCCGACAAGATCGGACGGTTCGTCAGCAAGCCCCGAAGTTTTACGAGCGCCATCTACGCGCGCGCCACGCCGGACCAGATTGTCACTTCGACGGGCGCCAGGCCCGCCGGCCAGGCCAATGCGCTGGGGCGGTACAACGTCTACCTCGACTCCAAGTCCGACACCGTCTGCTGGGACATCCTGCTCGAAGGCGTGACGGGCGAGTACATGTCGCCCGCCAGGACGGCTACGCACATCCACCAGGCGCCGCGCGGAGCGGCCGGCCCGCCTCGGATCGCCTTTCCCAACCCCGAGTTCGTCAAGACGCTGGCGGGCAAGGAGATCCGCCAGTCCAAGGGCTGCATGAAGGGGCCCTTCGTCACCGGCATCAAGGCGCCCGCCGGCGATCCCAACGGTGTGGACACGGGTTCCGCCAGCGGGTTCCGGGTGGGCGACATCGAGGCCAACGTGGCCAACTTCTTCGGAGACGCGCACACCAAGCAGTTCCCGGACGGCGCGGTCCGGGGCCAGTTTATTCCGTCCGAACGACCCGTCAAGGCGCCCCGCGAGTTTACCTCGGTCCTGCGCACTCGTGCCTCGCCCGACCAGGTCGTCAACCCGAGCGGGACGGTGGGTGTGGGCCAGCCGGGCGCCAAGGGCACGTTCGAGTTCAAGATCAACACGCACCACGACATCCTCTGCTACCGCATCGAGGTCTCGGGCGTCACCGGAGACTACCTCTCGCCCGCCAAGACGGCGACGCACGTCCACCAGGCCGCCCGCGGCGCCAACGGCCCGCCTCGACTGGCCTTCCCCAACCCGCAGCCCGCCTGGTGGGCGTGGAACAAGAAGACGGCCAAGCGCACCTCGTCCGGATGCATCAAGGGCCCCTTCACCACGGGCCTCGTCGGTGCCGACGGCAGCGATACCGGATCCCAGAGCGGATTCAGCCTCCAGCAGCTTCAGGACAACCCGAGCGCCTTCTTTGCCGATACCCACACCGAGGCCTTCTCGGCGGGTGCTGTCCGCGGCCAGCTTGAGCGCGTCAAGTGAGGATGCAGCAAGTAGAGCGTCGTCCCCCTCCCTTCCTGGCCCCCCGTCATCATCACCCCGTCGATGACGACGTCGAGCTCGACCACCTAGCTCCGCCTCATCGATCGCGCGTGACACGTAGCGCGAGGCTCTGGTACCGTTTTGCCTTTGTTCTGTCACCAATTCGAGCCGCTCTTGCGTTGTCCGTACCTGTTCAACCACCAGGCCCAGTGCTGCTCCATGTATCACACGTTTTGAGGACCGAGGACAATGCCAGCACCTTGAAGCCGATGCCAGGATCGCGACCTCCTCGCTGGTGTGAGAGTGACAGGGCCAGTCATCTGGGCGGCGTCCGAGCGTCGATAACACGGGGAGCGGTCCGAGCCAACGTCTGCGCAAGGCGGGTCTTTGTTTCAGCTTTGCGATGGCAGGAGGATCGATGCGAGCACCTGGGCAGAGCTTGCAGGAGGAGCCTACGGTCACTTAGAGTACATTATCAAAGGCCGGAATTGGGAGAGACTAGAGAAAAGGCGAGGGAGAGAGGGGCAGAGGGGACGTAGAGAGCGACACTGCCGCCCTCACCCGACTGGGCATCGCCTGCGGTTGTGGCCAAACTGCTTGCAGTTGCTGCATCTCGCGCTGCCCTTGCCTGACGGCGTACCCGTGTTTTCGGACCCATTCGCGGTCGTCGTGTTGGCTGTCGACGCCGGCGTGTTTTGTACGGCGGCAGGATTGATCTGCTGTGGTTGATGCTGCTGGGCCTGGTGCTGCTGCTGCTGTTGCTGCTGTTGTAGTTGTTGCTGCGCCTGGGCCTGAGCCTGGGCCTGCGCCTGCGCTTGTTGGAGCTGTTGGGTTTGCTGCTGCTGCTGCTGCTGGAGTTGCTGCTGCATCGTCATCTGCCCATTCATTCTCGCCATCCCAGGGTTGGTATTGTTGATGCTCGAGCCCGGCTGAAGCACGGGTGATGCAGTGGCGGCCGATGCCTGGACAACCGCCGCGCTGTGGCTCGTCTTGCGTCGCTTCTTGGCCGACTTTTCGAGCCTCGATTCTGCCTTTTGGATGATGTTGTCGAGATCCTTTTCTAGGCTGTGCTTGCCCGCCGAGTCCGCGCTGTCCCACACCCCTAACAGCCTGAGCAGATTCCTCTCAAACGACGGCTTCACCCCTGCTGCCGTCGGCGACGCGATCGGCACGGTGACGGAGGTGATAACATCGCCGGTGGGCTGCTGGTTGATGACGGGTGCGGGCGCAGGGGTCGGCGTTGGTGCCGGAGCGGGTGCGGGGGTTGGCGCGGGTGCAGGTGCGGCCATCAGGGACAGGTTGGCGTTGTTCTGCGCGGCGGTGAGCAGGTTGTGCGCCTGGGCGGCCGGGTTGATGGCGTTGTTGGAGCTGTCGTCTTCGGCGGCCTTGCGCTGCTCCTTGATCTTGCGGACCTGCGAAGGCAGATTGTCCCGATCGGCCTCCATGGGGTGGTTGTGCCTTCCCTCGAGGATCCTCAGCTCCATCTTGCCGTTCTTCCAGTTCTTTGTGCATTGCACGCGGAAGGGGCAGCCGATCTTTAGCGAGCCCCTCTTGCGTCGCTCCTTTTCCTTGGGCACCTGGCGTTTGTTTGGCTTTGCTGGCGTGCCGTCGGGCTTGTTGACGTTGAGCGCGCTTTCGGGGTAGCCGCCTCTGTAGCATGACCAGCATATCCGCGTCTGGTTGTTGGCCGACCACTGGATGCGGATGTCGAAGCCCTGCGAGTAGGCGTAGCTGTGCATGTAGGTGGATGCCGAGTCGAGGGTGTCGAAGTCGACCTCCAACGGCATCGACGGCGGTGAGATGAGGTTGTCCGAGGCTCCGGCCATGGACGGCGGCTGCTGCTGCTGCTGCTGCTGCTGTTGTTGCTGCTGCTGTTGGTGATGCTGTTGCTGCTGCTGCGCCGCCTGCTGCTGCTGCTGCTGTTGCTGCACCTGCTGCTGTTGCTGGTGCTGCTGCTGGTGAGCCTGCTGCGAAGCGTCGACGTGCTGTTGCGCCTGCTGGTGCTGCTGCTGCGGCGTGGCGTGACCCTGCTGGCCCGGATGGGCGGGCGAGGCCGAGCTCTGCGTAGGTGCCATGGGGAAAGAGTGCGACGAGATGCCCGTCCCCAGCAACGCGCCCGGGCTGGCCGAGGAGCCAGAAGGGCCATGGCTGTGACCATAGTTGAGGGGAGGCAGGTGGGCGCCAAACAACGTCGGATGGTGTCCGCCCGGGTGGGAATGGTGGTAAGACATGTCGGATCAGCAGCCAATGACCAGGGCGGGCCGGCCCTAGCTATCGGAGATCGGCAGGATCCGCGTCGGCAACGCGTGTCGGAGGTCAAGCCGAGCCGAAGGACGACGACGTGTGGTTGCCAGAAAGGAGGCGTCGGGGCCCGGGCCGTGTCCCGAGAGCGTCGAGGCGAAGACGGGCCGATGTCGTGCTCGTCGCTAGGCAGGGGCCTGACGCGCAGCAGTGAGGAGCAGAGCGGAATCCGTCGGGATGTGGCGAGGTCGGCCTCGTTCCTGGACAGGCTCTTCGACGATGATGACGCGCGAAGGATGGGCAGCCGGTGTACGCGTTGGAGAGCAGCCGCTGTCGGTGGTCGAGCTGGACAGCGGTGGCCGCGTCGCGGATGATCGCGTCGAATCGAGGGAAGACGATCGCGTCGAGCGGAGAGGGGGGCGAGTGGACGAGCAAGCAAGACGAAGGGGCAAGCCGTCCAGCTTGGTACAGTAGTCGAAAGCGGGCGAGCGAGCGGTGAGCCGATCAGGCCGCGATGGGTGTGGACGAAGGACGAGGCCACGAGGACGGCTGGTCCGGGGTAGAGAGGGTTGGATGGCCGTCCTGGTGTTGGACGGGCGGGCGGAGCCGGCGACGGTCCGAAGGAAGGGAGCAAGGCCGAAGAGTCCTGGCAATGGTGCGGCCCAGCAGGCGACGCAGGGTCCGTCGCGATGGACAAGCAAGCTGCTGCTGCTGCTTGACGAGCGTGCAGAGGCAGCGAGGGGGCAGGAAGGTGATGGAGTCGTAAGGATACGCTGGGGCAGGGGAGCGTGGCGAACAGCGTACGCTCAAGCGTGGCCCTGGCTTGCTGGCGGGGAAGGNGGGGGGGGGCGAGCAGGGCCGAGGGCGGGGATGGGGGCGGGGCGGGCGTGACGTGGCCGGAGGAAAAGTTTGGTCGT